TGTGCTTGCCATAATTAATTTGTCAATTTGAAATGCTATCTTAAGTTAGAAGGAATATATTAAAGAGCTTTGAGACTTGTAAAAATAATGATCATACTCTTTGAAAAAAATATTCCGAGCTGAGAAATTTTTATATTCTAAGTAGGGAAAAAGATGACAAAGTTTCACTTCCGTGACTGAACATTAATTCCATGTCCAGACATCCTTTCGTTTTAGATGTTTTACACAAATATGGCTCTATAGTGAATTTAAAATATTACATTACAATGTGGATATTCTTCTCTGTAGTTAAAAATTCTGTAGCTTGTTAAAAAATAAGGCTGTGTTAAGTTCAAATATAGCAGTGTTTATGAAGGTCTGCGGTAAATGGTGGGATCACATTAAGAATCCGGGTGAAGTTTTCACGTGATAGAAATCAAAATTTAACGTATGTTCGGTGATTTAAATACAATGTGTACAAGAAAATCCAAGATATTTTTGTAAAATATTTCAAAGAGTCAATCTGTGTTAGTAATATATCTGAAACCTACCTGCTCAATAAAAGGAGTGTTCTGAATATATTCATGTAAATGTCTGTAGTGTAAAATAATAAGAAATGAAATGCTGTTGGTACGTATTAAACTTGGGTTAGACAATAATAAGAAATTTCATATTTTATTGTTTCGTATGTATTTGAACTAAACTGGCTAGAGATGTCCATATATTAGTTCAAGTAGATTTTATGTTGTGAAAATTTACTATTTCTGAATTAGAAGGTTTAATTCAAAGTCAGTAGACCTTTAAAAATTCCGTATAAGTCTGTATTTATTTTTAGGAAAAAAAAAAAAAAGAATCAGAAATATTAACAGGGATATGTTTTAGAAACATGATAAAGGTTAAATGTAAGGCAAAATGTCTAAATGGAAAATAGAAAGTTAAAAATTTACATTTTTTGACACATTTCGTGAATCCTTTGAACAAGAATGAGATGTGTAAAAGAGAATCCGCGACGTTTTAGTATAGTGTTTCAAAAAGTTAGTATAATACGTTAGAAGAGAAAGTTTTGTATATCTTAAGTATTAGTAGCGTAAAAAAATAAGAAGAAATATAATATGCTAAGTAAGCTATATGGAAGGAACATCGTACTTATTGGTTTAAATTTGCAGAAATTATTATCCATGAAAGCCTCTAGAGGGAAATTATATTCGTGTAAGTTCCAGCTTAAATTTCATAGACAGAGAAATATATATGTAACTTTACGCTTCGAGAAATGGAGGTGTTAACATCAATAAGTATTTAAAACATTAAGAAAAACCTTAAGAGGAAAATAAAAGAAAGAAAAAAGAAATGGGAGAAGAAAATTCTTCAAAGAATTAAAAAAATACTTTTATATAAAAGAAAAATTTAAAATTACTTCTTGAAGTAAAATATAGGAAAAAAGACCGAGTTCGTAAAAAAGAAAGAAAAATCGTATGAAAATAAGTACAGCTTTTGAAAAACAAATAAAGTGAAGAATGTAAAACACGGAAAGGAAAGATTAAACTGAAGAGGAAAAAACCTTTTGTAAAATAAAAAGAGAAAAAAAATTAAAATTGTGAAAACTTATTACTTTTATAAAATCTATTACTTTTGCAAGTTAAACGCAGGGGGAAAAGAATGTAAAACTTAAAAATGGGGGGGGGAAATCTTATGTTTGTATATAAAAAATATGGTGTGAAAATTAGTACATTTAATTTAACAACGAGAAGAAAAGAAAATTACGTAAATTATGTTTGTAAGATAAAGAAATGAGAAATTTAAAATATCTTAACCTAAAATAGAAACAAAATAAATTTAAAGTTATGAATTCTTTCATTATCGAGAATGTACAAAGTTTCATTATCGAGAATGTACAAAATTCTTGCTTACAATATATCTCCCCGTTTCCGTACTTGAGTCCTTTTCTGTCGTGTAAGAGAGGGTATATTTGATCAGTGTCAATAAGAACATCATACAAACCTTCCTAGAATATCCCTGCTGTTTTTTCCAAGAATTGCCTATGTACAATCTATCAGCCTCATGCTGGTTTCCGCTGCACAATATCAGATGAACAAAGAAGATAGATGCTATCAAAATAATAGAGATAAAAGCACGGCTTTGTGTTATCGTCCACGTTTCCCACGCCATAGATAGACAAATACATGAAAATTTTTCGTTAAATCCTACTATACTAAGTCAAATAGTATAATCAATTAAAAATAATGGTTAATAACTTGGTCACGAACCACGAGAACCAATCAGAAAGCGCTATGGGTAAGACTACTGCCCTCTAGCGGTGATTGCTGAACTAAAAAGAATGCACTAGAAACTTCTATCATGTTGCAATCAGGATGCAGATTTAGTATGACATCAGAGCAGTGGGGAGTTCTACGTCAATCGATAAGCGCGGACATGAAACCGGATTACAACACAAACAGGATGAAACATGTGGCTGACGTAGCAAGATAATCCGAGGTGATAAAGCGTGATGACGTCAGGAACAGGATGGAACCCACCCGTGCTTGAGCCACGTGGTTGATGACGTAGCAACCCTCCCGTGATACTCCGTAAATTCCCTCCCCCTCTGCGCCTCAGGAGGCACGCCCTCTGGGATCCCTCGGATCCCTGATCCCTGTGGCCCCAAACCGGCCTATTCTATCTACTCTTGTTATTCCAGAATCGACGCAGTGTGACATAATTAAGGACGCACATCTTCGTGGACATTTCGGTTCCAAACGAACTGAAGAACTCATCAAACAAGAATTTTATATTCCTAAACTTAAAGATAAAATTGACAACTATATTGCTAATTGTGTTTTTTGCATACTAATTAATCGTAAATGTGGTAAACAAGAAGGTATGTTGCATTCTATACCCAAACAAGATGTACCACTTCACACATATCACATTGATCATTTAGGACCACTCCAGAGTACTCATAAAAATTACTAGTATATATTTGCTGTTACTGATTCTTTCACAAAGTTTGTATGGCTTTACCCGACAAAATCTACTGTTAGCGCCGAAGTAATATCTAAATTGGAAAATGAAAAATTTGTCTTTGGAAATCCTTCGCGTATAATTTCAGATAAAGGATCAGCATTTAATTCAAAAGATTTTCAAGATTATTGTTCAACCAACAATATACAGCACATTCTAATTACTACAGGACTCCGTCGTGCCAATGGACAAATTGAGAGATTGAATTCTTTTATAAATTCTGTTCTTTACAAATTATCGATTCAAAATCCGTCAAAATGGTATACGCACGTCGGTAAAATTCAGCAAGTGATCAATTCAACATACCAACGGAGTATCAACACAACTAAATCATGAGTAATCAATCATGATAAAATTACAGAACTGTTAAAGGCAGAGATCCAGTCAGATTTCGTTTCTCAACGCTCGTGATGATCTTCGCAAGGAAGCTAAACAACCGATTTTGGAAGTCCAGGCTGAAAATCATAAAACTTGCAATCTGCGGCGTAAATAGTGGCAATCAAGCGTACACAATATGGACCTGGTCTTAAACTGAAACCCAAGTTTATCGGACCCTATAAAATCGTGAATATCAAGCCAAATGACACTTATGATGTTGAAAAATGGGATTTCTTTGATGGACCCATGAAAACATGTACTTGCTCCGAATTTATGAAACCTTGGACTTCATCAGAACATACTATCTGAAATTTAGTGTTTTATGAACAGTTACTCATACGACTACATCTTTGGACTTTAAATCCTATCTATATTTTCTTTGATTATGATTACTAATTATTATTTTGTTCTATTTTTCTAGGTGATTTTTCTAGGTATTAGAAGATCCAGATAGAAAATTATTTTCATTTATCTCTTTAATTAAGTATTTCCATTTATCTGTATTAATTTAGTATTTTCATTTATAGTTTAACAATATTAGTATTTCTTCTTTGTATTTTATATGTTAAATTTTACTGTTTGCCCTTGTTATCTGAGGGCAGATGACTATGTCGGATGGCCGAATTATGTGGAAACTGTAATTGTAATTAAAATTATGTAAGAGCGCCATCTAGATTAGGTTGTGGTCAGATGAGATGAGACGTGAACGATAGTGAAGACAGACGCGTCAAAATGTTTTGACGATTATTTATTTTACTTTTCTTTTCATTCTAATGAAAATAAATACATCCTAGTTTAACTTCATGAGTTGTAGTTATGCTTATCATCAATCCTTCCCCATATTTTTAAATTACTGTGACCTAAAAGGCAAACTGCTTTGGCATCCTGAAGATTTCGAGAGACGATCAGGACATCGTAATTGGGACATCAAGTGACGTAAGGAGATCCAGACACGAAGAACGGTTTGAGACACTCCAGTATGACACTTCAGAATTTTCCTTTTGTTCCATATATTTTTACATGCAACCATGTTTCGAATACCTGCAACATTAACATGTTTTCACAATTTCTCCAGTAAGATTTAATATATTTATTCCTTAGATAAGTACAGCGATGTTATTCTTATATGTACTTGTGTACAACTATTCTATACAGTTTGTTTATTCTTAACTATGTGTGCCTTTGTGCATTTATTATATATTTGTATATATGTAAATGGGTGTACCTGCTTGCTTACTATATTTGCTGTCTATTAGCTAGTTTCTCATTTTAATTTGTTCTTATTATATCTGCTCTCTGTGCTACTAAATTTTCTCTCTTCCCATTTCTGCACACCCATATTCTTGCAATTAGGAGCTTATTTTGGAGGTTTTCTCTGCATGCGTTTGCCAAGACCTCTTCTTAGCTTACTATATTACATTCTGGTCATTACTGGCGTTTAAAAATAGTTCAAATACACCAGTTCTCTGTGCAGAAGTGCCATCAGAGGTTTTCTTTTTCGCATCCTTTTCTCTCTGATAAGAAACAAATATTCAGGAGTGCTAAGAACCTTGATATTACTCAACTCTGTCCATTTTGCATCTTTCTTGTTTTTTTCTACGGTCATCGCATTTATTCAGCTTCAGCAAACATACTCACTACACACACCTGGGAGACACTATTTCTTATAAATGAACAGAGCTTCCCTCCCTTTTGACTGCACTCATGGACACAATTGTCTTTTAGAATATGTTTCACTTCTTTTCCTTCTATAGGCCTTTTTTAAAATTACCTTTATGATTTTTTTCTCTTTCCTGTTACTTTTGGACCATTTCATTTTATTTTGTTCCACCTTTTTTTTCCTGGCCTTTCAAACTCGTATAAAATGTTCGAAGTTCTTTTTACTCTCCTCTCAAATAGAAAATTGCTCTCTGTCTATATGACTTTCCTTCGCACCTAAGCTTGATTTTTCGCCCTTCGGGCAGAAAGATTTAACGGGTGCAAAACAAGACAACTGTCTACTTTGTCTGCCTGTCTGTCAGAACTGGAGGATAGAGAGTTCAACTCAAACGGTTAATCTTCGGCGGCCATATTACTCCAACAACTGTGACTTGTGCAAGGAAGACTTGTCATTCCAACAATGTTTTTAAATTTTTGAAGTATGGGATCTTGTGTTATATATGGATGTACGAAGAGAACGTTTAAAAGACTCCTGGGATTACGTTTTACGCGTAAGTATTGATTTTTTTAATGTAATTTGATAAATATGCTTGAAAATGTCACTATTATGTCATATAGTATTTTTTCTTCCAGATGTAAAAAAAAAAAAAAAAAAAAAAAAAAAAAACTTCATCAAAATATGTTAAATAAAGTTTGTGTTTATAACTAGTATTGTGTTACGGATTTTGTATTTAGTTGGCTATTTTTAGTAGAATTGTAATTAAAATTGTTTTATTTCCCCTTGCAATGCAGCGCGTGACGAGTTTTAAGAGAATGTACGCCAAAAAAGTAAAAATACAAGAGCACGCGCATTTTATAAATAGATATCCCGTTATTTATATTTAAACTGCATAAATGCAATTGACTATTGTGGGAACTGTGGCAGTAATTCTACTCTTTTGCTTTTCAGAAATTGCTAGAACTGTCTCGTGCGGCCGGTTTAAAAAGCTGTGAAACGCTGGAGAGAAACATCCCAGTTCAGTTGTTTACTCAGTTGTTGTTTACTTAGCTGCTGTAATTTTGAGATCGGATTAGCTTTCTCTGCGCGTTCGATTGGATACTGTTTAACGTTTTAGTACTTTAAAGTATAACTACTGTGTGTTGCATGAAATTTAGTGTTTTATGAACAGTTACGAATATCTTTGAGGAAAAACCTAACATTTTGTTACATTTCTTGGGATAAAAATAAATTTTATTGGACTTTACATTCAATCTATTACGAACTCGTACGCACGTAACAGCATCTTTGTTCGTTAATATACTCTAGGATTTATGTAATTTGGATACTTTAAGTAATTTGTTTTATAATATCCATGAAATGTGGGAAATAAATTGTTACCAGTATTATGCATTGTAAAAGTGTTAAATAAAAAAATGCTTCTCTTTATGCATTAATTATTAATCATTTTTAAGTTTTGGGAACTGTTATGAATAAAATTTGCGCATTTGATCAAGATGCTGTTAAAAACTGTTTGCGTAAATTATTTCTATAATATCTCAATAAAATTTTTATCCAATATAGCAATAAAAGTGAGTAAAATATTTTCCATAACTGAACATGTGGAAATACATGTCCAAAAATTTGTATAGGTATATTTTTCAATAATATCCTATGTAAGCTGAACTATTAAGCATGCTAAAATAAAATGACTTTCTTTTTCCTTAAATATTTTTATATGAAATGATTCTTTAATGAATTAGGATAGTATTGTGAATAAATCAAAAATATCTCTTTTTAAAGGAAAAATTGGAATGTACACCCAACTAGCAGCTTGAAACTAGCAAACAAAACCTTGAAATATGTAGAAACGTCATTTTTAAAGGCTTTAATGTTATAAATATGCATTTAGTTTTCGAACATTTTCTTGATAGTTTCCTCTACATAGTAAATTATAAATACCATCTTCATTACTTTAAAACAAAAATTTAACAATACTGAAGCACTTCATTATAAATTTAACATAATTTTACTGTAAAATACATGCACAGAACATCTTAGAAACACTTGCGTAAAGCAAGTACTACCGTAAAGCTACTACCGTTTTACTACCGTAAAGCAATGTTTTGACTTTACAAACATGGCGGCTGCTTGTTAGGTAGGGTTTCAGTTTCAGATAGTAGAGGAAACCGAAAACCCTCTCTTCTCCTATTCTAACCTCCTTGAGACAGACAAAGAGAGGTTGCTTGTCTTGCAGTCTAAGTCTTTCTGCCCGCAAGTCGAAAAATCAAGTTTCGATGCGAAGAAAAGGCAACTAGAAAAGGGCAATTTGATGTGAAAGTATAACGAAATTCGTAGCAAATGCTACGAAATTTTCTTTGAAAACCAGATAAAAAAGCAGGTTAAAAAATAAAAGCCCAGACTATATAAAAAATATTTGTGGGCGTAAATTAGATAAGAAAAATGGAAGATAAGTGTGAAGTAAACTCGCAGTGAAAGTCCCCTAACGTGCAAGTGTACAATGCGCCAAAACCTGAAGTTCAAGGTCTCTCATCAACTAGAGACAAAGACCCCTAATGTACTATTGTAAATCAGTTGTATACTCAGTGAAGTGTTAAATATACTGGCCTAGTTTTAAATAAAAAAAATCTTAAGGGTTTGGGATGCTTCGTTCAAAAAGTTGAGCACACTTGAATATTTATTTCTTTAGAGGAAAAAAGGAAACCAAAAAACCTCGGATCTCGAGTTTGGCACTTTTAAAATTTTTAAGCCTACTTGAGCTAGTTAAAAAACCTGCAAAGCCAGAAAAAGGGGGTTTATGTAGGTGAGACAACTTAAATTAAATTATATTATGGAAGACCACCACTACACCTTCTGGGCGACTAGCTTTCTTATTACTTATTTCTATTGTTTCTGTGCTTTAAAATAATAAATCTTTAATTGTTTCACTACCTTTTAATGATCACATGGTGGTATCCTCGTTTGATGCTGCTCGGTATGTAACTGCTTCCTTGTGTCGCCATTTATTAGCCCTGATGAGAAGCGCAGCTGTAGCTCACGAGTTTCGTACATTCTTGAGGATAAATGACCATAGGATTCGATCCTGGGTCTGTTACGCAGTAGTGAAATACAGTACCGCTATCGCAAAATACTTACATACGATTTGTCTCCGTCAATTGAGCGCGCGTTATGGGCTCAGAGCGCTGATCTGATTAGCTGGCGTGGCTGTGAGTTCATTGCGTTGACGTGATTAGTTGGCATGCTTAGTTGTACTCGTTGTTGCACAGTAGAGCGTAACTCCGATCCGATCTTTTGCTTCTTCTCAGGTGGCCGCGGCCACAAGGCGTAGATTCCTGGGCTGAAGCCCTAGCCCAGACTAATAAAATTTATAAGCTATGACTTCAAAATAATTTCATATGAATCAAAAGTTCACGGCGTTACGATAAGTATTTCTAAATATCGATATTTAACTAAGAGATCGTAGGATGTAGATGCAGAATAGGCAGTTGAGAAACGAATTCAGTTAATAAACTTATACTTCCTGTATTCATGCCAGTAAATGTACTATATTTTTGAAAAGAAACTGTAAATAAACTCATATTTTTAAATTAACATAAACTAGAAAGGAACGAATATCCTTTCTTCTCGAATTCGAATAGTTTCTGGGAGTCGAAGACACGAGGCAGCACGTCTCCAAAAATATACGTATAATTTTGGTGAAATAAAGGTATGGTATTTTTTGCACGTTACTTTTACGAAATTTATACGAATGAAAAAGGCTGAAGTTACTGTTAACTCTTGATCGTTATTTTCCACACGTTATTTTTTACTAAAATTATACGAATCCGAATGTACTGATTAAAACTACTACCGCCATGATGATATATTTTATTCGTCACTTTACGCATATTATACGAATCCGAATGTTCTGAAAGAAACTACTGCATTTATGGTATATTTCATTCGTCACTTTTACGGATATTATACGAAGTCTAAAAAGATTGAAAATGAAGTTTATTAATTCAAAATATTTAGTGTATTTCTGGCATTTCACTTTGTTTTCCTTGTCCACGAACATGAAAAAAGGGGCATTCATATATGAGGCTAAAATTTTTCTATAAATTTTAACATGTGAGCTAAATCTTTACGTGCATTTTTGCAAAAAATTATATTTTCCTAATTCAAACATCTTCAAAATAACTTATTTATTTTCTTATATCAAATTTGTTATTTTTATTCATATCAACGCTTACATTAATTTACACAATTTAATTTCTTTTATGAAAATCCTATTACCCATTTAACTGGAATAAGCTGTATATTAAATTTGTGTACTTACTGAGTTTGGTACAATACTCTCCTTATTTTATTTAGCAAATGTGGGCAATTGAATTGGAATAAGACTAGCAAATCTTTAATGTCGAGGAATAGAATAATAAATACAGCAGAAGATGCTCGAAAACGCTTAACTTCTTGAACAATAGTTTAATGTAGACCAAAGGATCATTAATTATAATCAAAGATATACTAATATTTTTATTTAATAATAATAATAATAATAATAACTCTACGAAATTGCAAGCTGAATCCTGATATTTTACATATATTTCAGTTCCTTTAATCTTTGTTATAAAAATCATATGAGGCTAATTTTTTTAAATTTTGTTTAATGTACGGAAAAAATGATATAGCGATTTTAATAATTTTTATATGAGGAAAAAATAATAAATAATGTAAATAAATAATTATATTATATTTTATATTTTTCCTGAAACAGTTAAAGACATTCTTAATATGGTGATCTACAGAATAAGTACAAGGGTCCAGTTAAATGAACTCAAAATTTGCATAGTTAATTTTACGCTATAAAAATTAACCGGATTTACGATTATACACTGAGCATGCGCATATACAGACATTTCTATTTTTCGTAGAAAAATTTAATTATTACCTTAATACAGAGATGCTGAATATAAATTTATATAATGCAAAAGTAAGTTTATTTCATATGCTAATTTAGAGGCTTTCTTAATATGTTTAATTATAAAGAAAAAAAAGCGTTGCAATTCTTGTTCACTGACCAATGGCAAAGCAGACACTTTCTACTTCCGGTTGTGGCGGGATATTTGTCATTCTTTGTATTTGTGAAGTCAGCACATCAGTCGCACGTGAAGGTTGTCTTAGCACGGCTCTCGGTTTTACCAAATCGATTTGATTTTTCTTCTGCGATCAGTTGTTAGCACATAAAAGGTTGCTCACCGGTCTTAAGTGACCAAAGAGAAGTAAAAAGGCCTTAGTGCGATTTTACTGATTCTTTGCATCTATTTCTCCCTGATGACTGAACTGGTTTAAGGACTTGATCAACATGTCACTGGTCAAACTAATTTTCGCTCGATATGCGGAATTAACTTCCAAAGAGAAAGATTTACCTTTGACTGAGGATGAAAGAATTGATCTGGATTTTCTATTAAAGCTTCTTCCTAACCTATCGGATAAAGTACGTGCAAGTCTGAACTGTGCACGTGGCTCTGAACTAGGCTTAGCGCAAGTCGGTTCTAACCGGTTAGCGTCTAATGATAATTGATTCCCATCATGCTGATGTCTCACAACACGATATGCATTGGACTGCTGTTACCAAAAGTACGAAACGTACTCTGAGCGATACTGAATCGGACCCTCCTGAGGTGCAAAACAAATTTGATGTTCTTGCGAACATAGCTGATGATGACTCCGCACTTACTGTCGAACAGTACACGCACAGTACCAGACATGAAGGTGATGTTAGCTTGAAACGAAATCCCAAACCGAAGGCTCCCAAAAGCTTAAAAATCTCGCCTAGTCAGGACATAGGTAGTAAAATTACACAAACACTGAGTTCTGAGTTTGCGGTCAGCAGCCACAATAATGTGGCGCCATCTCGTGAAGGAACTGAGAAACAGGCTGCAGCGAGTAGGTCTGGAACCGAAAACGCAGCGCGACCACTCAGTTATCCAGATGAGGTCACGTGCCCGACTGGGCGAACTGACGCTCATATTCCCCAGGCTGGCGCAACTCAAATGAACACCATGGAGGAGAGACTTAGTGAAAATGCCACTAATGGTGAGGATAACAATAGTATGGACACGGACGCTAGTACGTCTAAACAAAATACAAGCTCAGATGAAAACATAGAAACGGAATTTGTGAAAAAGTCACGGATACCACCCATAACTATTAAAGTAGATTACCCTACTTGGAAAAACATAGCTAGGGCACTTAAACAGAGAAACATTGAGTTTAACTCTAATAAGAATAATAAAGGGATTAAAATTTTCATCAGAAACCCTGAACATTACAGGCAGACTGTTACTTATTTAAAAGACACGAAAGTGGAACATCACTCTTTCACGCTTCCTGAGGATAAAGACATAAAAGTTGTGATAAGAGGTCTTTTAAGAGATACAGATACGGTAGAAATACAAGAGGAGTTAGAGGATTTAGGATACAAAGTTGAATCAGTTAAACAACTTACGCGCAGAAGAAAAGGGGAGGTTATTAAACTTCCGCTATTTTTAGTTACTCTGCCTAAGAAACCCAAATCCAAAGATATACACAACGAAACTCACTTATGTGACCTAGGAATTAAAGTCGAAAATTATAAAGGTAGATCGGGCACGCTACAATGCTATAGGTGCCAAGGATTTCATCATACGCAAACTGGCTGTAACTATGCACCCAAGTGCGTGAGATGCGGAGAGGGACATTTGTCCTTTGAATGCCCTAATAAAAACTCTGACTTGCCACCATGTTGTGCGAACTGTAAACAATCTCACACCTCGAACTTTAGGGGTTGTGAGATGTTCCCTAAAAAGAAACAAGATAAGCCAAAAGTCTATACTAGTAGGGTTATAGAAAATAAATCATTTGCACAAGCCCTGTCTACTGGTTTGTATGCAGACACGATCAAGGAAGCAAAAACTGTTTTTGCACACCTGGCCGAGCTTGTATCGGTCATTAAGAGCTCCGGCTTTCTTTTAACACAGCAAATAGGACAAAATGCACCTACTCATAAGGACAAAACTACCATAAATCAAGATCTTAATGGATAGGTACACCACACAAGGAGATCCCATAAAATTAGCATTCTGGAATGCTCATGCCATTCAGAACAAGTTGACGGAATTTTTAAACTTCCTTAACAATCACAATATTGATATTGCCCTTGTAACAGAGACTTTTGCCACGCCATGCGTGCGTATAAATTTGCCTAATTACCGCACATATAGGTGCGATCGTTTGAGTCACCGTGGTGGGGGGGGCCGCAATTTATGTGCGAAACTCGCTACAGTCCTGTTTGATTAGCCAAGATAGAAACGACGGACATGAGATGGTCGCAGTCTCAGTGTACTTACCGCAATATGGTAATTTGAATTTCATTTCATTTTATAATCCGCCCAGGAAACTACTGACGGAAAGTGTTCTTTCCAAACTTCTCTCTGACACTAATAAGTATATCCTAACGGGTGATCTCAACGCAAAGCACTCCGAGTGGGGGTGCCGTAAAACTAACCAAAATGGTAAGGTCCTCTATGAATTTATAAATAATCACCCAGTTGCCTTGCATGTTACTGAGGAGTATACGTATAGACCACAGAACCCAAGAAATGCAGACCTTCTTGATATTCTTCTGACAAATACTTCAATCCCTATTTATACTGAAGTAAAGCACGAATTGAGCTCTGACCATATACCGGTCATTGCTTACCTAGGCACTACTAAAGAGGCAGAAAATGAAATGATCCGCACGACTGACTGGAATAAGTTCCAGAAGTTTCTCAGTCAGAATCCGCCCATCTTTGATACTCTGAACTCGCGGAAAGATATAGATGATGCAGTTGATACCCTCACTGATTCAATCAATAATGCTATTGAAAATGCCTCTAGACACGTGAGAAGAAATAATAACACGCTGGCATTCTGCCACAGGAAATTAGAGAGATGATTAAGGACCGGAATAGGATGAGGAAAGCGTGGCACCTTACATGGAGCCCTCACGTTAAAAGAGATATGAACAAATTAAATAAATTAATTAAAAAGAAAATAGATGAGCATAAGAGAGATGTATGGGAAGAAAAAATTCAGAATCTTAGTCCGAATGATGGCAGTCTCTGGACGTTCATGCGTAACTTGAAAAGGCAGCGTACATGCAATAAGCCGATTTATACTGAAAACTCTGTTGCTCTCAACAATAAAGACAAATCGACGGTCCTTGCGGACCATTTAGAAGAGCAGTTCAGACCTAACATGACGCCCATGGACATTAATTTTGTCAATGAGGCATGCTACTTTGTTAGGGATTGGCTTAATGCCCACACTGCTAAGAGGTACATGGCCACTGCTACCCCCAGTGAGATCAAAGAAATCACAAAGAAGCTTAAAGTCAAAAAGGCCCCTGGCATAGACGGTATTAATAATCACGCACTTAGAAATCTGCCCTGCAATGTTGTGACAAAATTCACGAGTATTATCAATGCGTGTCTTAGTCAATGCTATTTTCCCACAAAATGGAAAATCGCAAAAGTTATTTTATTGCCTAAGCCCGGCAAGGATAACACTAAGCCAGATGGGTACAGGCCCATTAGCTTGCTTCCGGGACTAGGAAAGGTCTTTGAGAGATTAATCTACAGCAGATTGAAAAACTATATTGAATTACTGCCTCCGGAACAATTTGGTTTCCGGAGAAAGCTTTCAACAACGAAGCAGCTGGTTCGGCTCGTCGAGTTTTGTGGGGATGCGCTTCACAAGAAACAAAATGTCGCCTTACTCATGCTAGACGTGGCGAAGGCATTCGACCGCGTCTGGCATGAGGGGCTTATTTATAAACTTATAAATCTCCCTATGGATAGAGAGCTGATTCAGCTAATTATGTCTTTCATCACTAATAGGAAATTCACTGTGGCTATTGGAAAGGACATCTCCAGTTTACGCACCATGAATGCAGGCGTCCCACAGGGGTCCATTTTAGGGCCCGTCCTGTATTTATTTTATGTTCATGACTTTCCTAGGGCTCACATTGGCAGAAATTACTTTCTTGGGTGCTATGCGGACGATACGGCATTAGCCGTAAAGTCCGCAAACGCACACCATGCAATCAAGAAATTACAGGAGCTTCTACCAGTGGTAGAAAAGTGGTGTAAGACTTGGAGAATTGCTATTAATGCCAGCAAGTCGCAATTATTATTGATAAGGAGGAAAAATACACAGTTGACTATTAACAGTAAGCTCTTCTTATTCTCTGAAGAGATTCCTAGAGTTAGTAAGGCGAAATATTTAGGAGTAATGCTAAATGAAAGATTAAAATGGGGAGATCATATAACAGAGGTCAGAAGAAAAATTTTCACTGTTGTAAATAGTCTCATCCCTATATTGGGTAATTATTCTAGCTTAGACCTCAGGAAAAAGAGGCTAGTTTATATCACGGCAATTAGGCCATTGATGACTTATGCGTCGCCGGCCTGGTGCACGGCTACCAAGGAGGATATAAAAAGACTTCAAATCATGCAAAACAAAGTCTTAAGGCTTATCACCCATGCTCACTTTTTTGTGAGCAATGCTACACTACACTGTGACTTAAAACTGGACACTCTAGAAGAGCACCTGAATAAGATCAACAGGAAATTCTTCACGAAAGCTCTGAACTGTGACCATATGAGAAATTTTGATATCTTTACCTACGAAATATTGAATGAGGACGCCAAACTGCGCCCACTTGCGGCCCACCTTATCAGGGACCCGAACTTTCCCACCTAGTGCCCACCTGTAAATGATGTACCCAATGTGTTTATTAGCATTCTTAATTTTGTATTTTACTCATTTATTGTACTGTGTATTTCTTAAATTCTCTAGTTTTATTCACATTCTACACTCATTTTATGACTCCCACTTAGTCACGCCTTTACCGGGCCGGTTACTTGCTTGTGAGCTCTTGCGTTGCTGGTCTTCCTATTCTTTATCCGTCTTTCTCCTCCTTACTGCGGACATTATGTGAAGATAGTTCTATGTTATTGTACCAATCCGGCATGAATTGATTGAGCCAGATAAACTACTGATCTCAGTGGTATTCTGGCTATAAGTTATCAGTCAGTCAGTCAGTTGAAGTCAGCACTCAGCAATGGCGTCGAAAAGAATGGTAAAGTCTCAAAGAATACTGTTTGTTCGTGGATTGGCGTTTGTGACTGAATCCATCGAAGTTACTAATTATTCCGAAGAAAGTAAGTGAATATTTTATATTTTCAGTGTTTAATACTCGTACTTTTTTCACCTATATAAAATTTTATAAATAGCGTCTGTGTAGGAAATGTGATTTTCCATGTGTTGTTCTTTTGTGTACGTGCCTAATGATTCATTTTCAGGATTTGGTACTGTTAAATTTTGCACTAGTCTGTTTCTTACTGTTTGTGTCACTCCTTTTTGTATGTGTCTCACCTTTTTATAGTTATATTATTTTTACTCAAACGTTTTAATATTTATCTTAAAGCATACTGTAATTAAGCAGGAAATAGCTTTTAATGGAAAAAGAAAGGCAATATTAACATGACTAATTGTTCAGAAATCTGTTATGGAAATGTTATCTACCTTATGCCAAAAAATAAAGCATGTAACTTTCATTTATTTATGAAATTCAAAATTTTTTATTTGCTTAGTGTTTTCCCTAAAAATAATTTAATTTCTTATTTTTGAATTTAGTTTTATAAATTTGCTTTAATATATAATCTTTAACTCAAAGATATTGTGCTATTAAAAAAGGAAATTTTATGCCATAGAAACACAGGTACTTTGTTCCAAATCTGTGTTCATTTTTTTTATATATATATACTGAATTTTCATATGTACTTGTAATTACTGAAATATATCCTTTCATGAATAATAAGTAAGTCCTAAGTCCTTTCATGAATGCATTTCTTTTTTGTTTGTTTGATTTTGTTGTTTTAAAAGATCTGCCATAGTTAAAGAAAGAAAATAAAGTAAGAATGCTTTACTTTCAGTTTTGAATAAATTTATTACTATTTACTTACTGCAGCTTCAAGTTTCTCTAAACATAATTTTCGAAGTCAAAACTTGATAGTTATGTTGATTATTAGACTTGCATGAAAAATTTTATTGAAAAATTAGTATTTGATCTAAAATACCTTAAATTATTTGAATTATATTTTACTAAATCATGTATTTTGATATAACTAGATAGTTAAAAAATTTAAAATTGTAAATGTGCAGAAATGCTTATATATAAACCAAGAAATTGTTTATATTTTTTGTTGCTTTTTCCCTTGTAAATTAATTATATATATATATATTACAGTCTGGGGAGTCAGCACCCTGCTGAATTGTAGTAAACGAGACGTCCAATCTACTAGACTAGACCATCAAAGATGCAGATTTGGATTTTCTATTTCATAGTTATTGAAATCATAATGGTATGTTTGTTTAAATTAGTACTGTTTATGAATGTGATAAAAATAAATTCTGATAAGAAATGATTTATTTTCTATTAATTATGAACTGTAAATAATGTAACCAATTTTCTTCATAGTATTTACTAAACATTTTTTTTTTTAAAAAGGGAGGTAGTCTTATTTATACAATTCTTGCAGAGATACCAAGAAATAAAACATTTCAGGAATTTTCACTCAGTATATCTTGATGTGTAAAATCGTGTTGTTCAATGCCATATTACTTTTTCACAGGAAAGTAATTTTATTGATCTAACATCTGCATAAATCAAACTTTTTTAAGAATGATTACAGTTTCTAAGCTAACTTAAAATTTTCAGATTTAGAAAATGTATGTTTAATGTAGCATTAGTTTTCCATGGAATAGAAAAGGTTTTCAAAATGTTCAGTTGTTAGAGGGAAATAATATAAATGAGATTGTCCTGATACAGTTTCAGCTGGAAATGAAACTGAATTTTCGGATAGTGAAGATTTCATTTAAGAATTCTAATAAAACTGATTAATAACTATTTAAAAATTCTATAAAACTGATTAATGTAAATCCTCTGCATTTAAAATTCTAATAAAACTGATTAATGTAAATCCTCTGCATTTAAGAATTCTAATGAAAACTGATAATGTAAATCCTATGATTCATGTAGGTATTCTTCTGTTATCAGGACCAGATTCAGAAATGTGTGTCTATATGCATGCATTTTTAAATGTAGGTGCTCGTGTGTGTATACTTATACACATATATGCGCATACATGCATATACACATGCTTACATATCTACAGTAGAACCCCGAGATACGAGTTTAATTCGTTCCAGCATTCAACTGGTATAGCGAATTTCTCGTATCTAGAAACAAGCTTCCCCAATGAAAATAATGAAAATTCAGTTAACCCGTTCCCAGCCCCCAAAAATATCAACATTTTAATATCAAGTCAATTTTTCCTAATAAATAACACTGGTAAATAATATAACAATAGTTTAACTTTGTTACCAACATTTTAACTCCTTCTCATTAATCCACACCAACAACAGCTTCTCAACATCTAGGAGTACTTTTTATGGTGCTTGGAAGCAACGATAATTCCTTTGGCTACATCAGGTTTCTTAATTTCTTCTTCCTGCTTCTTCAGAATAGTATAGATTTTCGATGTTGAAAGGCCGCAAGTCTTCGCCAATTCTGTCACCATGCTTATGTTTATCTACGATTTCTTTCTTGATATCGACGGCCATGGCCTCCTTATTTTTCTTTGCAGCACTATCTGAGGCAACAATCTTCTTGCGAGGCATCTTGAAATAATTATTTTCACGTTAAATGTCAAAACAATTAACTTACAAGTGCACAAACACGTATATAAAAGAACACTGAGTGATCTGACGAGGGGATTCCCCGAGTTGAGCCGGATAGGGAAATGGCGCCACCCATACCAACAGCCTGGCTCATTGCTCGTTACTCGAATTAATGCTCGTATTTTGCTCATACTTTCCTCGTATCTCGAGGTTTCATTGTACATTTCTGAATCCCGTCCTAATAACAGAGGAGTACCTTTGCCAGTATTGCAACAGAGCTAGAATGAATTATTGTGTTAAATATGTGGAAAATGCATGCTTAAAGTACTGTTATTTTCTAAAAATATTCTGTATGTCTATTTTTTACAAGAAGAAAAAATAGCTAAAAGCTGTTAATTTACTCGTATTTATTAGTCCAAAGGGGCTTTGTCCCTAAAGAACTATTGTTTTTGTTTTGCATTGGTTCACTATAAATATCTGTTTCACTTTTCAAACTGTTCCTACCAAATGTTAGAGTCCCTAGTGTGGGATTAATACTCTCTATCTTAGTGCCCTCTATAACCTATGTTAGGGTTAACCTGTATAACCTACAAGGATTGCCAGTTTAGGCGAGATATCTAGGTAGTCATCATAATACGTACCTTATTTTTTATTATTTTTAAATTAAATTGAAAGTAATAAACTAGTTTTCAAGAATGGAGTTAAACTAGATTTGCATTCAACTCTGGTTTATTGTGTTAATGATGTTTTGCTGTAACAAATATGAATTTTTTGTTTAAGTATAATAATTTAAAATGTTTTTTCTAGAGAATGAAGTACTGCCACTAAGGTAAAGGTGCTAACTTGCAAGGTAATTTTCTATTCTACATTAACTCAATCTTTATGTCCTGTTACAGATATATTGGCAGAAATAATGAAAACCTGACATTCAAAAAGAAAAATAATAATGTTGAATGTAGTATATTAGATGGTTAACTGCGGTTTGGCAGCTCATTAATAATCTTACACATATTGAGTACGAATAACTTTGACAATTACCGGTATTTTCAATAGTATAAAATTAGGCAAGAAAGCAGTTTTAGCTTAGCACCGATTTTAAATACAACTCTCTTACCAATATTGGTTTGACGAAGGTAAAATATAATTGAATTTAATAAGTTGGAAATACTGTCTGTCTTTCCATGAGTTAAAAAATAATTTCAAATAAAATTTCTTTTTTTCAGTTTTTCATGTTATTTGTTTAATGTTATTGTAATCTGATTTATCATATTTAGTCACATATTCCATCCCTCTTTGCACTATAGTATATAATTCAAAGGACTTATCAGTTTCAGCAATATTTTTTTTACCAGTATACATTTTTACCATAACTCTGTTTCTAAATCATATCCTGAAAAATTAAGGAGTAAAGTACACAAAGAAGGAAAATATGCAAGTAAATAATGGCATTTAGTGTTGTTTATGTGTCTAATATTTGTACTAGATTGTAAAAGTTATAAAATTCTATTAGCTTTTTAAAATTCTTTTTTTAAATTGAGATGCTTCTTTGCACCCAAATGGTTAAAGCCCTAGTGTGACTTTGGTACTTTGATCTAACTTCTATTCCTAATAAATAATCCAGCTGCATACAGTTTACTCAATTTCTGCCATGTGTAAGGTAAACAATATTAGCTTTTTTTAAATATATCTTTTACAACTATTCCATCAGGTAGATTTCTTTCTTTCATATTTTGCCTTAATTGAGTCATCCTGCTAATTAAGAATTTATTAAAGTTAATATGTTAAGTTTTTTTTGTGTGTATAATTCATTTTAAGTATGTGCAAGCAAATGCATACATTAACAGTTACGTAGAATTATGTTTTGGGTATCAAATTCAGAAATTTTGGGGCTGTTTTTAGAAGATTTATTAATGATTTATACTATATTAATATTGGTAAAAAAATTCTGTGGCTTTTATATGAGAGTATATATTTTAAAATAGCTGCATGATATGGTAGAGGTAAAAAGCTTCATGTGGATCATAAATTAATATTATGTGGCAATTTTTCATTTATTTAATAAAGAAAATATTCAAGCCACAATTAAAATTTTTTTCACTGGATTATTTGCATACAAAGTTTGCAGCAAATATTTCCTGCAACAGAAGTGACAATTTTTATTTTGCCAAGACAGGAAATTTAGTTAGTGAAAGCAGTAACCCTATTTTGAGATGTTAAACAGGAAGGCAAATTTTTGAATTTAAATTGATTTTTGAAGGAAGACTTCATTTAGTCTTGCTATCATTCTACGTGGCTCTTAACTTTTTTATGGTATTTATAATTTTATTGTTATTCAGCTTTCTGTTTGCTTAGAATGCACATGAATGTAGACTTGAAATATTTTATATTGCAAACTGAGATGCCATTGTTATCATAATTAAAGATTTTTGCTCTGATTTTGGAGGAATTTACTGATAATACTTTTGATTGTGTATTGGTTTCTGGTTTATTGAAATGTGTAAAATAGCCTGTTAATGCATATACGTATGTTAATGACATGTATATGTTTATGAAGTATTCTGTTATATGTATATAGTGTTGTGATTAGTTTTCTGCTTACTCTTTATTTAAGAAAAAGTTATCTGTAAGAAAGCGAATATTCTTTACTATATGTAGGAGTAAAATTGAAAAGGCTAATGCAATATAATTAATACAAAATTAAGTTTTTTCCATGTACTTAAATACAAATATAGCCATTAAAGACTTTCTCAATCTTGCAGTTCTAAACAAATCTTAAGTATTTTTTACTTGAAATTATAGGCATTGTGTAAGGTATATAATTGAAGCTTACTGTGTGATAGTATGAAATGTAAATTTTTAAATATGAAATACTCAGTGCATTTTATATGCATCTTTTAATACTTCAACTATATTTAAAAACTGAAAACATCTGAAGTGTGAAATTATTACAAATTTTTCTTTTTCTTGTTTAGGAGCTGTTCTCAAAACATTGGGTGACAAAGAATTCACTTTTACAAAAATCGAGCAGGATATTAAAGACAGCGAACTATAGAACAAATATGGCGAAGCTGCATGAAGTCTATGTTGAATTTTATTATTGAAAAAAATATGCTCTTCAGATTTAATGTTAGTTTTTATTGTTTAACAGTAATTGCAGTTTTCGAATACCTGTAAAATAAACCTAATTCTTAAATTAATTTCATGTGTATTTCTTTTGCAAGTATTACAGTTCATAATACTTCAAACAACTTGAAATTTTATACTTGTTAATTTATGTGGGATATGTTTCAATAATTTTATAATTTAAATAACTCATTGTCATCATATGAGCATAATCTAAAATGCACAGCATTTGACAACAAATTAATAAAAAATTAGCCAACTTCTAATTGCTTTCTTTTGTCCAGTTGCCTCTTTTTTAAATCATTTAATACCATAAAGCTATTTGATGAAAAAAAATAATTGGTATGTCCACATCAACATGTACATTTATAATGATGTTATAGAAAAAGTCACATGAGATAAATATTAAAAAATTCAATATTCCTAAACAAATTAACTTTTTGAAAATTTTATCTGGTATATAAGATAAAATAAAGAACATATTTAGATAATTTTATGAACTTATTTATGAAATTAACAGTTACATTGTAAAAGGGAACTTTTTAAAAATACCTCAATAAAGCATTTCTTTTGTAGAGGTGAACTTTTAGTACTGATCTAATATATTTATAAGATTTTAAACTGAGAAAGACAACAATAATAGATTACAATACATTGCAAGATTGACTGATAAATGTAAAATTTTTACATATCATAATTATGTGTGTAATTAAAACAGAAGTTACTCGATTAACTTGCATGCAAATTAATATTTTCTTTAACATGTTTGGGATAAACTGAATTTTAATAAATAAATATGTATATATTTGTGTATTATCTGAAGATATGAATGAAATATTTGTGACATTAAACATTCATCTTCAAGGAAAATAACAAAGTCAACTTGGTAAACTATTGGAAAAGGTAAGTTTTCTACAATTTCCTGGTCTATATTTAACAATTTTAAAATTTAGCACACTCATTCAAATAATCTAAACGTATGATGTTTTCTTTTGTGCTACATTCGTTTACTGAATTTGTTAATTAACTATATTGTACTTTAGATAGAAATTAACGTAGATATTCCCTGTATTTTACGGTACAAAAACTTATATATTTGATAATAATTGACCTAAATCTTCCCTATGTTTTCTTTGCATATACGAATGACTTTGGTAAAAATTTAGTCCGATGTCTTCTCCTCTTTACTGTGTATAAGTGCACATTTTTGGTAAAAAATTTGCATAAATCTCCAATTACCTATTTACTGCATTTTTCGTAAAATGTGCTTATTTTAATCTCTTATTTTTTATATAAATCTATGCAAAAATGTTCTGCATATTATGATTAAAAGATAAAATTAATTTAATATCAAATTTTTACATATCCACCTTTTAGGTATGTACAGCAATATGGAATATATATACTGGAAAATTTAAATGCAAAAAAATTAATTTCTATTCAAAAATTACATAACACTAAAAGGCTGAAAATCACTTTTAATATTTCATTTCAAAGTGACTACAAATATGCAATAAATTTTGTAAACCTGAGTTCTATGTTTTAAATCAATTAATGCTATCGTTCATTTACATGGCATAAGAAAATGTCCTTCGGAAAAGCAAATAATTTATTTAAAGTGTTATTTAGTAAACAACTGTTTGCTACAGTTTTTTACTAAATTTAAATTTATGAAATGAATTTAGTAAACAAAAATGCAAATGAACGATAGCATTAATTGATTTAAAACACAGAATTTATGTTTACGAAATTTATTGCATATTTTGTAGTCACTTTGAAATGAAATATTAAAAGTCATTTTCAGCCTTTAAGTGTTACGTAATTTTTAATAGAAATTTTTTTTTTTTCATTTACTAGTGCATTTAAATTTTCCAGTTATATATATTCCATATTGCTGTACATAACTAAAAGGCAGATATGTAAGAATTTGATATAAAAATTATTTTACCTTTTAATCATAGCATACAGAAAGTTTTTGCATAGATTTATATAAAAAATATGAGATTAAAATAAGTACATTTTATGAAAAATGCAGTGAAAAAGTAATTGGAGATTTATGCAAATTTTGTACCAAAAAATGTGCATTTATACACAGTAAAGTGGAGAATACATCGGATTAAAATTTTACCAGTCATTCACATATGCAAAGAAAACATAGGGAAGATTTAGGTCAATTACTATCAAATATATACGTTTTTGTACCGGAAATTACGGGAAATATATACGTTTTTGTACCGTAAAATACGGGGAATATCTACCTTAATTTTTACCTAATATATACGTTTATATACAGTAAAAAATCGGGGAAATTTACGTAAATTTTTACTAAATATATACGCATACGTGAAGCAAAAAATTGAGATTTACGTATATTATACGTAAAAGTTGCGAATGAACGGTAGTCTCTCGCGTAAATATACCTAAATTTTACGTAAAAGTTACGTATAGTATAACGTAAAAATATACGTAAATATTTAGTAATTGCCACTGGACACTTTTTATGATATTTTTACGTTCAACTTGAACGTTTTTTATACGAAAGGCCATTCGTAAATTGCACGTATTTTTCTCGTGCAATTTACGAATGCATGCTGCCTGGGGAATACCTTAAAGACTCGAATCCATCAAATTTTTATTACGTTGTATGTTTAAAAATAGTAAAAAATTACAATGCACTTGAGCGTAAAATTAAGAGAATTTGCCTATTATGTCTAATTTTACGAAAAGTACTGATCCAAAGGTAATAATTGTGCTGCCTAAGAAGTATATACACATTTAGAATCGAAAACGTAAGCGCACAGATACGTGTCTGCGGAGCTGCGATTGTGGAGGGGATGTAAACACACGAGAGATTTTTGGCAATTTGTGTGCTCTTACTCCTTCACAACATTATCCATGTTTTTTGCAGGAGCTGGGTAATTTTATAAGGTATCAGAAGTGGGGGCAGCCCAACCCATTAGATAAAATAATTAACCTCGAACGTACGGATAACAGATTGAGATGGAGAATTTTTGGTAGACTGAAGGCAGGCCCATCACAAGCGAAGTTGGCTACAAAGCTTAATGTGATGCTCAGTGTCGTCTGCATTTGTCGAAAAAGTTTCAGGACACTAGATCTATATATGGAAAATCTGGAAAAGGTAGACGAATAAAAATCGTTATTTGAACCGTCAGCGTAGTGCGTTATTTGGAACCGTCAGCGTAGTGACATAGGATTGCTACAGCTGTACAGCTCTCACGTGAGTTGTATGCTGGCTTTAGATCGCGAATTTCACGGTCCACACTTGACCGAAGTATTCATGAGAGAGGGCTGTATGTCAGAAGACACGCTGTCTCTATCTCGATCACTGCAGCAATCAAGAGAGTACCATTGTGAAGATGTGCTCCTTGGACCAGACTTCAGTAGAGCAATTTCAGTGCTTTTCAAATATGATTCGAGATTCAGTCTGGACATTCATTTTCGGAGTACTTGTATGTGGAGAGGGCCTGGATGACGATACTATCTTTCCCTCATCAGGGAAAAGTATCATTACGATGTTGGAGGTGTAATGATTTGGACAGCCATTATGTCTGACGGCCCCATTTCCCTGTATGTGTTTGACAAAGATTATATGACTGCTATGAGGTATACAAGGAGATCTTAGAGCCCTATTTTCGACTTGGGCGCAGTTGGTCCTGGGCTCCTGTTAATGCATGACAACGTTTGGTCACATAGGGCTCCGCGGGTCTTGATGATCGCATGAAATGTGAGGATATTTGCCGAATGGTTTGGGTAACCAGATCTCAACCCTATAGAGCATATCTTGCCATCTTGCCATCTCACTCCAAGAACCACCCCGGAGTTGAAAATTGCCTCGCTGCAGAAGTGGGATCGACTGACAGAGACTAATCCTCTACCTCCTGTTCAGTATGCCGTCATGCTGCGCTACTTGTCTGGCTATAAGAAGGAACGATACACAATATTACACTTATTTTAAGTACGATAATCATAGCATGGATTCCGGACATCCCTGCAGTGCTAATCATGCAAACATAAAATGACTTTTGAGTTTTACGTCTCTTTCATTGTTATAAATGTATGTTCATGCCAAATTTCGCTAAAAATCTTTCTATTAATTTTTCAAAAATTCTACATAATAGGCAAATTCTCTTAATTTTGCACACGGGTGTGCTAAATATCTTACACATATACCTTATTGCCTACCTTATATGATGAAAACTATAAGTAAATAAAAGAACATAAAACAAACAAACAAACAAACAAACAAACAAAACAATAAATAAATAAATGAAATAAAAATTTTATAAAATTAACGTAAATTCACTTCTTTATTCCACTACTTTCTCTGCGTACCGTAATGTTCGAAATACTCGAATTTGTTATTTAATACAATAATATTAGACGAATTTGATACTATCCGTCAACTTCTAATATTAACAGAAACAAAAAGTTCAGTTTGTATTAAAAACCAGTAAATAATGCGCAATTACAATATTATATTTAAATAAATTTTGTAGGAAAATATGAATCAAAATGTTTCCGGGTCACAGTTTAAAAGCGGAACAGAATTGAGAATATAACGAAAAATGTAACATTTATTACCACTTTCCCTTAAAAATATCCCATCTAATACTAACATCAGCAATTGAATTAAACCTGCCTTCTTCATGAAATTATAAATGGTAATGAAGATAAAAATAAAACCCAAAGTTATGAAAACGAAATGCAGTGTGATTGTAATAATATGGTGGTTGTTAAAATAGAATCTGTGAATAATACATCATAATCAGTGGATTTTAGTGATCCCCCAACATGGTGCATAACAAATTAATAATGTTCAGATATTTGTTCAGCGTGGTCTTGTATTAGGCGATGATATAATTGTTTATCTTGATACAGAAAATATGCATTTTGATAAAAAATGGTTTATGAAAGCTCTGTGCAGAGCGGGTATTTAGAAACTGGTTGATGTATTACAGTCAGAGACTGGGAGCATACGGATCTAGCTTTATTGTGACGTGAAATTTCAATATATCGTAAAAATAATTATTTCCAATGGGAAATATACCA